CTAATCAATGTAGGGCTCAATAAATCGTATTGTATAGTTAGTTATGTCTATTATATTACATCCACAGGTGTTTGGAACGACAACATTTTGGACGACTTCACCTATCCTAACGGCACGGTACTGCAGGCACCAGAGGACAGAAATCTAACAGAGGAAGAAATATTCCCATGGGGATTATCATGTAAGAAACACGACATTTATTATGTTTACATTTTTTTCTCTAGACAATTGTATACTTATTGTTTAATTATTCGAACAGAATTGTGTAGATATTAGATGTGTTGACAGATGTTATTTTTGTGCAATAATTTGCCATACAGTCCCATCATTATTTATTCATATCTTAAAACAAGAAGAACATTAATGCATTATTTTTCTGTAGGGCAAATCAAACAAGACGAAAGTCTATTCACCTACGAGGATGGACAAAACGCATCTTCCTTCGCCAAACCAGATTTCAGGCCAAAATTTCTCAACCAACTTCTAGCAGCTGTCTCCGCCGATAAACGAAGCAAGGCTGAGGTTCTGTGTGGCACAAATGTAGAATGTCTCTTTGACTTTCTCAGCACAAACGACGCAGAAGTGGGAGAACAAACCAGATCAAGTATTGTGACTTTCGATTCAGACGCAGAGACACTGGGTTAGTCTACGGCGCACTTTTCAAAGATACTGTTATTCTTTCACAATTTTTTAGTGGACGTCTTCAAGTTTGATACAAGCAAAGGCATTTATCACTGTTCAGTTACACTGTAAAATAAAACTAACATAATTGGTACGGATATAGAAATATGAATGACAGAAATCCTTGTAGACACCGTATTTACTAGTTTTTTTTTCTTGCAGCCAACTTTCCACCCAACATCACAACCAACGCCACAGTCAATGGGATAGTTGGACAGCAGGTGGAACTACAGGTCATTGCTGTTGACCCTGAGGACAATCCTTTGAGGTATTCCATTGGCAACGTCAACAACACTCCTGGGGCAACTATCAACCCCGGTATGTATGTTGTCCAATGTGTGGTAACATTTTTTCATTGACTTGCTCTCTGACATTTTCGTGGAGATCCGTCAAACTATCTGAACGCTTTTATGTCATGAAGCATTCCTTTATATTTTCTTTTCCTCAAAACCACATCTGTGTTACCGTATTACAAAGTAGTACTTCCGTGTACAGAAGAACTGTTTTTATGTCAGGAATACATATAGGTTGACAGCATATGGGCAAGTGTAAGATTGACAGGCAGGATAAAAGCAGGTTAAAAGCTGAGGCACAGGAAATGACTGTGTCCAGGAGGTGGCAGAAATGTAGCAAGCTTAGGATTTCATTAGGGAGCCTCTAAAAATCCGATTCTATTTTTTTAGTTAACGGTATCCTTAGATGGACTCCCAGAAGCCTACTACCAGTGCAACTAGAGATTATTGCCCAAGACAACAAAGGAGCCTCTTCGTCGACCTACCCCATGGTGAAACTCTGCAATTGTCAACACGGTGGAATCTGCAACTTTGTCACTAGGGACTTCACTGGAGATATCAACCCTGTGGGACAGTTCCAGGTCTGTCTTGAAATAAGTTTAGCACGTCAAGACATTTTTGATATTATTCAAATTATCCTTTTACCTTTCCACTATTTTAGAGCACAATCTTTTCTTTTTCTTTTTTCTTTTTAATATTTAACCTACTGACAAACACTGTAGCCATAGAGAATTTACAACCAAACGGCTACTTCAGAGATGAATGATACAACGACATTAAATAATAATACTTTTAAATGATGACCTTTCGATTCAAGTGCAACGTTAACTCATTTGATGCTTATCTCCAAATCTGTACATCGGTTCAGTACATATATTCAATATACTACGTGTTATCAACGTTTCACACGCACGATGCATTGAGCTCGGTCTCTTTGATTCGGTTAAATGCATCTCATGTATTCATGTTTAATAACAAAACTGATATTTGAACAGTGACTAAATTGAACATGTTGATGTTTATTGATTTGGTAGTAGATTAGCATTTTTAAAAGTTGTCACTGCTAATTGATTATACTAGAAAAGTATAGTAAAAGTGGAACATATGCATCGATTCTGCTGTACAGAGTACATTTAACACAGTGTATGAAGAACCTATCAGTTACTCCATGAATACCTTTTAAGTACCAGATTCTGTATGATATATACCTCGTCTTGTTGTTGTTATTAAACAGGTTGTTTCCTGCTCGTGCCCTGAAGCCTGGACAGGAGAGTTCTGTGAGACTGATAAGAATGAATGTGAGGAGGACCCGTGTTATCCAGGAGCGGCGTGTACAGATATGGTAGCACCTAAACATGGCTTCGAATGCGGACCATGCCCCAATGGTCTGGATGGGACTGGGGTGAAGTGTTATGGTCAGTAGGACAAACATTTTCCGTTTTTCCTAATTATAATAGACACATTTTGTATTATGTTAGTTCTTGATAAATGTTGAATGTGCCTGTCACGGATGAGCCGAGTCACGGAGTCCGAACTTTAAATGTTAAATCAACTTCCTATCCTAAGACAGACACCACCAGGACCTCCCTCTCTAGATCTCCACTCCGGACTGAACTCGCCTTCACATTCTTGGGCCAAACTGGTACAAACGATTGGATCCCATCACAGTGCCCAATCGTTTTTTTTGGTCCTGCAGCTTTGACCAAGGACATTAGAAAGCGTTAGGAAGTCAACAAAATGTTAATGTGCACATCACTAGTATCGGAATGCCAGTGATTTTACGGACTTCTTGTCACCAAACCAGATCAAACGAAGATGTAGTTCCCGTTCTCAAAGTCCAACCACACTGGCCATTTGCGTTCCAAAAAATATCCGTTGACTTTTTAATGTAATGGTGTTCGCAAGTGCTAATATTATGTGTTTTGTTTCATTGTGCAGATATCAATGAGTGTGTGCAAGGTCAGCTTTGTGAACAGCCCCATAACTGTGTGAATATCCTGGGCAGCTACACCTGTGGCTGCGACCTTGGTTACCACCTAGACAGCAATGGCCTCAACTGTACTGGTAAGCTACGGAGTTGTATCATTATATTGCAATCTTTGATAGCCAGTAGAGCAATGAGATCTTTGTGTTCAGCTGAACTTTGTTTTCACTGTAAATACATCTCATTCGTTTTTCACAGGCAGAAATACCACATCAAATTATATATTTTTTTCTCTAGATATAAACGAGTGCGACATTAGCACAGCTGATTGTGCAGTTGAGGCGACATGCACCAACACAGAGGGCAGCTTTACCTGTACCTGTACTGCCGGATATACTGGCAATGGGACCTACTGCGCAGGTGATTATTTTACCTTATACTTTTCTAAAAAAACATTCCTCAAACAATGAATAATTTGACTGTATTTGCAAGAGACTGTTGTCAGACTGTATAGGAATCAGAACCAGTGATTGCTGTCCAGAAGAAGGTGACAGACAGTCACCGAAACGTTAGATGCAAAAACCTTTTACTCGGTTGTTAAATACTGAACCCTCTTACACACGTTTTCTCCCAATGTTAGAAATCTATTTCATGTTAACCTATAATGAGATCAGAATAACTCCAAATGTTGGAAACAGAAACAAGCGAATACTATGTTAATCATTGTATAAATCATTTCCTTTCTATCCTTTTTCAGATGTTGATGAATGTACGACTAGTGCCTCCTGTGATCGCAATGCAGTATGTGACAACACTGTTGGATCCTACACATGCACATGTAAGGCTGGCTATGAAGGCAGTGGACGCAGATGTGAGGGTAAGTTGTATCTACTCGTTGTTACTGTCCTTCTGAAGCTGAATGTCTTACGATGCAATTTTATAAGTAGAAAGTAGGACAGTTGTTTTAACATGATCCAATATTATTTCCTTTTGACAAACTTGATAGGACATGTATTTCCAAACTTTTACAGCAGAAATTCGTAACAACAACAAACTACGAACATACAGATTACTTAAAACTACATACAACGAGGAAAACTATTTTTGCGGCACAGAATAGCCACTACACGACTTCGGATTAGCTCAAACAAACTTCTTGTTGAAAAATGTAGACACTACCATATTCCCCTGCAACAAAGAATTTGTCATTACTGTAACCTAAGTGAGATTGAAGATAAGTCATTTTTTTCTGCACTGTACTCTATATGATAATAAGATAAAGATTTTCTTCAATTGTATGCAAGTTATTTATAGTTTTAGATTTTTACATTTAAAAGAAAAATTCACATTCCTCATGAAACTCGATAATCCCCGTACCATAAGCTTCATATGTTTTATACTTACAACTGTCTTAAGAAGCGAGAAGAAGCAGAACCTGTACATGTGTAGTTTTACTATAGATATATTTTAGTTTACCATTGCTATTTGCCGTGACCTGTACTTAGTTCCCAACGAGCAAAAATGTACAATAAACGTCTAAGTTTCATTCTTTAATCATTAAGGGTAATGGTACTTTAGATTTAGACTCGGTAGCAGTTGTATAACCACTATGTTTTTGGCCTCCATGTGGGAAAGAATATGCAATTAAGGATCATCCCTGTAGTATTGGTAACCATTCAAATTCGTTTATCTTATCCTTTAAAGACAAAGATGAGTGTGTTGATCCGGACATCTGCCACACAAATGCAAGATGTACCAACTCCATCGGCTCCTACAGCTGCAGCTGCAACTCTGGTTACCGCCGCAAGGGAGCAGTGTGCACCAACGTGGATGAGTGTGAAGAGCTGCTGGACAACTGTAGCCCGGGGCAGGGGATCTGTACAGATAACCCTGGGTCCTATAGCTGTGCCTGTAGGGGTGGATATGAAGGAGACGGGATCACATGTCAAGGTTTGTTACGGTTTCGATGTTTTCTTTGATGTACACCTGGTGCAATTTTTCTAATGATTTCATTCCCATCCCGACTGAATTAGTCTTTTGTAAGGTAGATTAGCCTCATGTTATATGTCTATTGTTATATAGCAGTTGGTTCCAGACGTTGTAACTTGTACACATGTTGTGCAGTAACGTTATTTCCTAATGTACCTGGTACATTACATTGTTTAGCAAACGCTGTGATACATACATATAATATGGCCATTGCGATGGAACTTCTATTTTATACCTTTTCAGATTTTTTTTGTGAACAGTTAGTTGCATCAGGACAGTTACTTAGTTTACCTTACCTTGGACCTTATTTTCCCAAGTGCCTGATGGCATATCGAGGAGCAAACTTCAACTTTCTTTAATCAGCTCATTGACTACAAAACCCCAGAATCATCGAATAACGGGCAATATCAGTTGATGTTTTTTTGCAATAAACATTATCCAAAATGCAACTTTAGATTTATTGCTTCGAGGAAATGCCTTTGTCATGTAGTTGGCGATGTCATGTGTTGTCATATCACTTGGTTAGTTAAACAATAATCGAGTGATGAAGACAAGATATTTGTGTAAGTGAAATTGATACCAATATTTATATTTATATATATATATATATATA